ACTATCTAGCAATTTCCATAAACACTGCGTATAACTCAGGCCAAATATGAGATATCACGCTAACATTTTGCGAGACAACTTCTTTATACGCACTCTTCCCAATCATGGGAAAAAACCGAAATGAAAATTTGGTCATAGTCGCACTTTAACCTTTGAAGACGCAATGCTTTCGAAGATGTCCAAATTTTGACAAAAACGTGCCATTATTAAATGAGAAAACGAGGTACATAACACTTTCATTGTTACATAACACTTCCAAGATACATAACCATTAACACCTTCAATCTGTCGCAATTTTGTTACAAAGAATTTGTTATAATTATATTTTAGTACCATCTGAGCCATTGAATCTGGATGCTAACGTACAATCAAACACAACCGTTCAATTATCGTGGAGTGCACCTCTACACCATAACGGCATTATCACTAAATATCATGTATATTATAAGAAAGCAACAGAAAATGTTATTGCTCATAATACAGCGAATTCAACACAATATTTGGTACAGGATCTCACACCTAATACTAACTACTCATTCTGGGTTTACGCTCAAACGTCAGCTGGCTTGGGAAATAAAAGTGTGACAGTATTTAACAAGACTTATGAAGGAGGTAAAGTATGTTAGATTTTAGGAACCACCATTATTAATTTTCAAACGTTTTTTCCAAACAATGAAGGTAACACTATACAGTACTGATTACACGTATTCACGTAAGCTAGAATTAATTACAAACACTGGAAAAAATTTTGAAAATCCATAGAATGGAAATTGTATGGACCTTTATTGGAAATAGAGTGGATTTTTGATGTAATATATGAATAACGAGAGCGAGTGTTTCACCGGGATATCCAAACACGAGAAAACAATGTATGAAAGCACGAGCGCGAAGCGCGAGTGTTTTCATACATTGTTTTCGAGTGTTTGGATATCCCGGTGAGACACGAGCTTGAGTTGTTTATATGGCTTCTCAAATGAATCGAGACGTAACAGAATGTTTTCGTTTTCTGATTTGAATAGAGTTCTTAACCAAGCATAACGTAATTAGGAATTCTATTCAAGTAATTTTGCATGCGTAATTAAGATATTTGATGAAAACACAAGTGACTTTCATCAAGTATCCAAATGGCATCTTGTGATCAAATAGGTGATTATCATTGGCTAATTTACTCATGAATTATTAATGATTTGAGAATGTTTATTTCCATATTATGGATATATAGTATGGAAATATTATGGATACAGTGATATACTATGGATTTATATTAGTGGTGCAATTGCAAATCTTATAGTACGGATTCCACATTTTTTCCCCCAATTGTTTGTAAGTGATAACCTATTACACGTAGTTGCCGTGTGAACTGATAAACAGCGAACTATAAATGCCTTATCTGGATTCGCGACGCCATCTTGCAAAATGGGGCAAACACAATAATAAAAACATTTTCTCGTCTCAATGGGAATACTTATTCCTAGGTTCATGGTATATTGCGTAAGACCCCGAAAAGGCATATTGCTTTTTCTTTTGCTTGTCCAAAATCTTAAAACTGAGAAACAATTTCTAATATTGTCGTTAAACCCATCACTTGTCTGACGCTCTGCCATTCGAGTTAGTGCCGGTGTTACAGCGGATTTGGACACCACGCACATATTTGGACCCCGCACATATTTGGACTCCCCGGTACATATCCGCTAGCTGATATGTACCCCCTTCCGCGGAATTGGTCCCCCTAAAATTCACAGAAAGAAGAAATGTTTAATTCTTCGAGTAGTTGTGGAGACTATCTATGATGAAATTATAGATAATATAAATGTGCTTGAGATAAAAAAAACAGCTTTGCCTTATGAAAATTACATACTGTGGTCCCAACACTGTACTAAATCATAAGTCTTATCATTCTAAGCTACTTGTGCTTTAAACTAACGTTGATTTTTATGAGACATGATTTGCAGTTGAATGTGCATGGAAATTTAGGCGTCAATTTAATAGAAATTATGATCACTAATGGCATGACTCAACTATCTTGGAATATGCTTAATGACGAAAACAAATTATTGAGATGCTAATTTTATAAAAATTTAGGGTTGAATGGATGCATCACTTTGTCATGGGTATGTTAAGGCAAAAATAATTTGAAATGCAACTTTGGGATGGCAAACTCTTGACAATGGACGAAAATACTTGAAATCCATTTTTATTTACAAAATCTTAAATAATGAAACTGCTCCATGCAAACCTGAAAGAAATTTTTTTGAAAATAAGTGATTGTCCAATTATACACCAATTAAGATTGAAGTTCTCAAACAGATTTGGTACTTCCATTCCCAAAATCAAAATTTAAGAAAAAGACCTTCAGTTATAGTGGAGCAACTCTTTGGAATAACTTATCAATTACTGCAAAACAATCCAATTCTATGAGTTGTTTCAAAAGACTAATGAAGCTACATTTTCGAAAACAATAATTATGTAAATAGTTTGTATGTTTGTTATTTATTTATGTTTGCTAATTGTCTAAAGAATAATTATGTCAATAGTTTGTGTGCTGTATATGTATTAGTCTTAATCTTACACGTCCCCTATGCCTATGGAAATCATCGAAAGGTGTTAGGGCTAACGTGTTTAAATAATTTTGTATGTATGTATGTATGTATGTAAATATATTTTCATTTTCAGTTTTTATTTGAGCAGTTAAACGTCAGAGCAGATAGCAATTCCAAGGAGTAAAATACTCGTGAAGGCTTAATGCGCTTCTCGCACATTCCAAGATCATAAAAATAAACCTATGTAGCGGAAAAATTATAAATCATAAACTTTGACGGAATTCTTTGATCTAAAAATCTAAGCTTTTGATGGAATTTTTTAACCTAAAAATTTTCGTACGGTTTTTAAAATAAATCAAATAGATTTATGACGATTTAAGACAATTTAAAACGCTTCGATACAATGATAAAATACGCGAGGGGTCCAAATTCGCGAGGGGGATCCATATCCGCTAGCGAATATAGACCCCCATAGGCTCATATTCGCTAGCGTATATAGACTCCCCGTTTGAGACGGGTACAAATCTGCTGAGACACCGGGAAATCATTGACAAAGCTAAAGTAGATTTTCCCTAAATTTAAACAACTTGTGCATGCCAACTAAAGTGTCTGTACTTGAACAAATGAACATAATTTCTGTAACATTG